TTAACTGTAAAAATTAAAGAGGTAAAATTAACTTGCAACTAATCGAGTAATTGTTTATAAATGTTATTATTTAAATTTTATTATCCGAAAATTATTTGCATCTCTCGATGAACAGATAATGTAGTCAAATTAAAAGCGAAAGCGAATTCATTTCAAAGAAAGAATTAAATAATGAACCCAGTTTTCCAATTAGATGTTACTTATTGCTAAAAAAATTAATTTGTAATACAAAACGTATTAAAAATGTAGAAGACTATTTCTATGTGTATTTGTGTCACTGAAAACAGGCTTAAAAATTTCGACTTCTGAGGAAGCAATCCGCTAATTTCTGATCTATTTTTCTTCAGGACATTTTTCTTTGCAGACTGAACTTAAAATAGACAATTAGAAAAATATTACAAATATTACAAAATGTAATAACACAAACATAAAATTAATTTTTGCGACATAAATATTTATATCGAGGGATATCCGCGTCTCATGGTGTTTTTAGATTTTTATCGGGAATCGTATGAAAGGAAAAGCTTTGTGAAAAGAATTCTCTCGGGCAATGACCCTGATAGTTTAAATCGAGATACGAATTGGATTGTAATCGTATACTAGCGCTATTACAACAGCAAAAAAAAATCATTTATTTGAGAAATCGCAGCCGCGTACTTTCTCGCAAATCGATGTCTATTAAATTCGTACGCACGTACGCACGCACGCGCGTGTACACGCAAGAGAAAGTGATCTTGGCCATTGATATCTTCAAAATACAGCCATTTGTATCAAAAGGCCGCAAAATCGAAAGTGCCATCGCGTTTAATCTGTTTGAATCCAAGGTATCGATTAAGTCTATTCAGAACTCGATCGGCTTAAACATTATTGAGAGCCGATGATCTCAGATATTCGCCAACTCTCACGTAAAGAAACGCAATCTAGTTTCGAGAAATCAATAATTTTATTCTCTATATTAATAATAATTAGGAACTATTAATTAGTTTTCGTTTTTTTATTTTAATTTAAAACGCGTGAATAATTCTCGATTGTGGAAATTTGGACATGTTATAGTTGTCATAAATTGCTATAATCATATATTACACAGTATGATTCGAAAAATGGGGAAAATTTTCTGATAAACATATTTTTATAGAAATATAAAATACATATAAAAAAAAAATAATATAAAATTAAACTCGCAAATATTTTAAATAATTAATAGTTTCTTCTCTGTTTACTTAGATAAATGAAACGTTGTATTTTATTCTAGACACTGAATTACGAGCATTTTCCGTGTTTTGCAGAATGTATTGGGTGTTCCTGGGATTGCTCAGTACCGCCATTGCGGCGCAGAATTCTTATGACTTAGAAACCAGAGCTGTTTCATTTCCCGGAAAGCCAAGTAGCTTAGGACCACTTTACTCGCCCGGCTTAAGTTCGGCCCAGGGATTCCGTGATAACAGTTACGAGGATAATGCAGTGACACCCACGCCATCGCCGACGCCAATCTATAGGAATTCTAATCAACAACCGGTGAGTTTAGAAATTATATGCATTTATCTACGCGTGCTGAAAAATTTTATTTTTATTTTAATTTAAATTCTTTATATTAAATTGTACGCAGTTGTATCGCAAACCAACGGCGGCACCAATAGATACTCGCGACTACACTCAGGCCATCCGCGTTAGTTCTTCGTCGCGTGCTTCTATTCGAGGCCCGCAGTCCCAGTTCGGCCCTGATGGACTCACTAAAGAAGAACTCGAGGAAGAGAAGGAGGAGCCTGATCGTCTTAGCCTTCTTCTACCTCAAAGCAGATTCGATTGTGTCAACAAGCAGACGGGCTACTACGCTGACGAGGATCTCAACTGCGAGGTCTTCCACTACTGCCAAGACAACGCTAAGCACTCGTGGATCTGTCCTGAAGGTTTCACTTTCCACCAAGTCAGTGAACCAACTATAAATGTCCTTTCTTATTTATTCTTTTAATATCTAAAGAATAGAGACATTCCATTAATGATGATTGATTGCTGTTTGTTTTCCTGTTAAATCTAATTTACTAAGAAAATTATCGCTTACGGTGACGAGTTTAATTCTGATGAAATAAAAATATATTTTCGTCACTTTATCAGGTACATCTAATCTGTATGCCACCCAGCGGCGATATCAGCTGTCAGAAGAGCTCACAGTATCATTTTGTCAATGAGTATTTGTATAAACCGTTGAATCTCCAAGAAGCCGAGACCAAACCCAATGTCACTTTAAGATACAGTGAGAGGTATTACCCCTCTGATATTTATACGGATGAAAGAGAGGTTGGCGATTATCAGATCACCCCTACGCCCGCCCCGGTGCGTCGTCCTGCTCCGCAGGTGTGTTTATCATTTTTGAATTATGATGATTACACTTCAATAATTACAATTAGAGGCTGTAAAATAGAAGCTACAATGTCTCTTTAGAGTCTCTTTAAATCTGAATTTTAAGTAGATTTTTTACTATAATTTAAAATTTTTAAGATTTTTGTCAACTGTCATTTGCGTTTTTTTCTTTTTACTTGCAATTTTTACATTTTAAAAATTGTTTAATAATAAAATTACAATTTTAATTACAAAATTAATTACAAAAATTTTAATTAAAGATATTTACGTCACGAAACTAAATCAAGACTTTCTTCTGAGTTCTGAATATTATATAGGCAGATCTTTTTATTTCGTCTACTGCTTCTACTTATTCATGATGAATGTGAAATAAATAATATGATCTTCTTTCGATCGACTGTATTGACACGTTAACGGTTAGGTCTTGTACAGGTCCTTGTGAATCCACAGCCAAGTTTGAACAGTATCCCTACGTCGGTCCGTCCTACAGGATTCCCGCAGTATCGTCTTCCGATAAATCAAGTATTCCGCAGCCCCGAAGAAGTCAACATTCCCCTTCAGCACAGACGGCCGCAACAGCAACAGCACCAGGTTCTCAGACGGTTTCCTCAAGTTCAAGTCCGACCCGATGAAGAAGAATATGAATAGATTATTAGATTCATAAATTCTTCAATTTACTCAAAAATTATTCCGTCTCTTCCTCAATTTAATATTCGTTTTGCGAAGTCAATGAAGAATTGCAGCATTTGACATGCCCGAATTTTTCCTTGAATAATTAGTGATTTTTAAACTATTTTATATATATATATATATACAT